TTTTTGATTTGACATACTTACATTTTACTTACCATTCCTTTTAAGGTCGGTTCTGACCAACGTGCTTGAATAAAAGCTTCAGCTTGGAATTGTTCTTTTAATGTATCAATTTCACCAATTTTTAAAAATACTAGACGTAATTCAACCGTTACCTAAAATAAAAAAAAATTTGAATAAAATATTTGAAAATAAGAAATAGTTGAACTTTGTCTCATTTATTTTTTTAATCTTATGTTTATTGAAGCATGACAAGTTGACCTGACCTATTCTCGTTGATATTCATATCGATCAGTCTATTCATTTTCATTCGTATATATTCAATACAATGAAAAATCTCTATTCAACAAAACTTATTTCACATTCAACTGGTTTTATAATACCACTTGGAATTCTATTTATTTTATTTGGTATTACATCAATTATTTTATCATCTATTGATTTATATTATAGTCGTTCAATATTATCATTTCCAATAAAAATTTCAACTTCTATAAATATAACAGATACAAAAAATTCAACAAATTCAACAAATATAATAAATTCAACATATATAACAAATACATTATTAAAAAGAATTTTTATTCCAAATGCATTTTCTGAACAATCAATATGGCCAACACTTGGTAAAGGTATATGGTGTGGACTTTTTTTTCTTGTTGTTGGCATTTTTTCATTAATTGTTCATCGTGAAAAAACTTTAATATCAATAAGAATATTATCATTACTTGCATTTATTTCATTATTTATTAGTTTTTTTCTATTTTTATCATCAATAACTGTATTTCAACGTTATATTGTTGAAGGTCGTTTTAATTCTTATAAAAGAACATCATATGAACAAAAAGAAGTTGTAGTTAATGCTCTTCTTCTTGTTTGTGGAGTTTTATCTTTTATTATTTCATTAGTATTAGCTATTGGTACACTTATTGCAGGAAATTTTTGTCAACAACAATCGGATGATTTTGAAGATATTGATTATTTTAATCAACAACAACAACAACAACAACAACCACCTGCCTATTCTACACAACCTTATTATGGTTAAATAATAAAAATTATTGAAAAATTAACTTAATATCTTAGTTTATGCTATACGAATATCTTTTAGAATTCATTTTTTTTTAAAGAAATGTTTTTCGTTTTATGTTATTCATATCTATAGAAATGTTATTATTAGAATAATAAAAACAAATACATAGACAAATAATTAAACTAGCATAAATAATCAATTTTCGTTTTTTTTTTTTTTGTTAATATTCAAACTGATATAATTCTCATATTTATCTAAAAAGTATTTATTAGATATGATTAAATTATTTTCATTGAAGAATTCTTTTGAAAAAATTTCTATAAATAATATATTGTTATCAAAAAATGAAAATAAAAATCTTACCCTATTGAGTTTATGTACACCTGAATTATCTTCAATTGGTCTTGTATTTTGTTTTTCACATATTTTAATTATATTATCTTTAATTTCTGTAAGAATTTTAATATTTTCTTTAAAATTATTATTTAATTCTTGAACTGTATTCGTTAATTCACGTAGATCCATAATTGATAATGATAATGAAGATGATGTACTATGTATTCGTTTTACTGGAATATATTGATGAGATGGTGATGATCCTCTTAATGTATGTGAACTTCCTGTTCCTCCTCCTGATAGGTTCATTGATAATTATCTTAGATTTTTTATTTTTATAATAGAGATCAATAACAACGATAAATTGTCGAATCAAAAAGATAATTGTAAATATTGAAGAACAACCAATACAACATTTATGCTCAAATTGAAGTTAACTTATTTGAACTAAAACAGATAATATTAATCTGAAAAAAAAACATGAGAGATTCAAAGAAAATATTATTTATATCTAACGTGGGAAGATCTCCAAGTATGACTTGCCCTTTTGAATCAGATCTATACCATTTAGTAGAGTTTGATAAGACTCGACGAAACCTAAAAGGGTTCGTTTCCATCAGCTGTTCTTCTCGAGTTATGACCGTTTTACTGAATTTTCGACCTATAGCAAGGCATATATGGAAAAATCGAATTACGAGATTTTGATCTGAAATATTACCTATAGATAGGCCTCATGGTCTTTAGAATGTCCTAAAAATTTCAGGCGAAAAGAATGTTTTTCTCTTGAGATATCGAATGTTGAAGACACTTACTTCCTTGCGATGCATAATCGTGTTTTGGATATCCAATATCTGGAGAAGAAAACATTCGTTTAGCCTGAAATTTTGAGAACATTCTAAAAATCATAAGACTTATCGATGGGTACAATTTAAGGTCAAAGTCGCGTAGTTCGATTTTCCCATATATACCTTACTAGATATTGAAAATTCAATAAAATGGTCATAATTCGAGAAGGACAGCGTATGTGGACGAATCTTGTTAGGCTTCGTCTAATCTTACCGAGCCTTATTAACTGGTATAGATCCGATTCGAAGCGGGAAGTCACACTTGGGAACCTTCTCTTGTAAGATTATTGATTTTTCTATTTCTAAACAGTTGTTTGATTCTCGGAAAATCATCTGATCTTTGTTTATCTATCAACAACTAAGCTTGTGCGACTCCAGTATCTGTGTTGGTACTAGTGATAAGAAGACGAAATGATTGGATTGGTAAAAAAGAGAGAGAGAGAGAGAAGCGATATTCTATCTCGAAACTTTCCCATGCATACAAAGAGAAAGCAAGAGCATAATACATTCAATATGCAGAGATAAACCAAAAGCTGTTGTAAAAGCTAAGAAGAAAAGGAAAAAAGTATGTTGTTTTAATTGATACATGAATTAACAACTACATTCTAAAAAAACTAGCACAATTACTTGACAGACACTTTTATTTCTATTGACTAAAGATATTTTCTTACAGATAAAGCAAGAATAAGAGAGAAAATGAATTAATAATAAATCTCAACGTCAACATTTGTTTTTCTTTTCTTATTCAAATGAATACGAACAAGAATAGAAACAGTTTAGATCTTATCGACCATTTATATTTTATATTTTCCATATGAATATTTTGATGATATGTTATCAAATAAGACCATTAATTTCCAAATGAAAATATAAAATCTTTTGATAAAAAAGAATGATCTAATTATAAGAGACCACGTTGACCTTATCAAACTAATCAATGACTTGAGATAGAAAAAGAAAAAAATTTGACACAAACTATTAAACATTATCGACTAATCAATATTGTTAATCTCATCTGTTATTCCAGTTGATAGATACAAATAAGAACAATGTATTTTCTCTTGTTAACATGTGAAGGTCTACATTTACTTATATAATAAGGAAAAAAAAATATCATTTCTATCAACAAATAATTATTTTTATTTTTTACAAAGTTTATACTTTATCGATTCTATTCAAATAGAAACAAGAATTAAGAACGAATGTAAGCAGTTAGGATAGATGTGTACAATACGAATATATTAAATGAAATTAATATTATTCTTTTGAAAAGTTTTCTTTCTCTAATACGATATATTTAGTTCTTCATTCTATAAATGATAAATATAGACAAATCAAGTTTTTGCATTGCATACAAATCTTTAAACATAATGTTCAATGACTATGATCAAGTTTTCTTCGTATATTATTTATTAAAGTATTGAATAAACAGACTGTAATTTTTTGATTATCTAAATAAGAGAAGATTATAATGAATAAGATCTATTTTATATCAATCAAAAATTACACCATGCTTTTTAGATTGTAAAACAAATAGAATTCATTCAATAAAATGATTTATTACATAAATCTTTTGAAATTTTCTCAATAAGTATTTAATTGAAGGTTTTATAGCACATAAAACTGATTGGAAAATAAACAAAAAACTAGAATTTAATATTTCATTTCTTTTTTTAATGATATCAAAAAGAAGTCAAAATAGAGACTTGCATTTTTCACTATTCGAAAGAACGAACTCGAATGAGAGCCTAAACCTATGAAAAAAATTGACGAATCAGTTCATAAAAGTATTCACTACTTACATCTTCAAATTTGCCTGAAATTTATAATAAATTAATCTTGAAAGAGAACTGATTCAAACATAAGAAATATAATAAACAGTGCTTCTGCATAAGTTGAACTCAACACAATAAAATTTCGAAGTTATTTTGTTTAAATAAGAATGATTCCTTGAGATAAAAAGAAAATAGCAGATTTTGATATATCTAAATTTATTTTATTCATTTTAGACAAGTTTATCTGTCAAGTGACAAATATGTTCCTTGTTTAACATATTGACTTTTTACATAGAATCACGTCTCGGCTTCAGTCTTCAGAATGATGAAAACTAATAGTTTCTATCTAGCTGCTTTTAGGAGTTATTTAAAACACAATAAACTACTTTATATTTCTAAATGAATAGTAGTTTGTAGATAATTGAATTGACTTTTAACGAAAAAAAAAACTTGTTTTTTGATGAAAATCAAACATTATATATCCAACAAAAAGAATAACTAATGTTAAATTTTTAGGATTTATCTAATAACATGAATTAATCGTTTTATTTCTTAATGATTCATTTTAGTTTAAGAAAAATATTAAAAATTCTTTAATATTTATTTAATAGTAAAATTTTCTTGATAAAATTAGATTAGTATTTTAACGAATATAATAATTATCTTACGACATATAAATCGAAAGTTTAAAAAGTGAATTCAAACTTGCCGATCATTGTATTCTATACGAAGAAGATCACCTAGATTTATTTGTCGATTGTTACTTTGTTTCTACAGTGTTACCCTCGATAGGACGTGATTAAACTTAGTAAGAGAGAAAGAAAATGATCAGAAAAATATATAGATAAAATGCACTAAGCGATGTGATATCACTCTCTTATTGTTCTTCATTATCTAGGTATACATACACTTTAGTATATAAAAGTAGCTTTCATAGTCATTCGTTTACTATTCTTCTTTTAGACGATAAAGTTTACAATAAGATAAATTTTATCTATTAATACTTCGTCAGCAATGATTTGGGTAAATTAAGATTTTCTTAGAATTTTTTTTTTTTTTTAAATTATTTTCATTTGAATAGATTTCATTAATTAGCTGTTTGCTTACATTGTCGAGTTCAGCTTATGGACGTTCTAGTAAATAAAATTAATTTTATTTTGATTTATTTTAAAATCGATTATATAATATTTAGCATATGGTTTCTATTCTTCTGTACCACATAGTCAAACTTCAAACTTAATGGGAATGTCTGATTCAACTATGCAACAAAAACCTTTAATGGCTCGACCTTCATTTCAAAGTCAAGTTCCTATGCCAAATGTTTACAGACTACAACCAACACCAAAAACTACCGATATGTCATCAAGGTAAATAGAAAAAAAATATTTTATTTTTTTATTTTCGATCAAATGTGTTGTTTGTTTTTAGTTGGATGCAAAACGTTCAAGAAAGTACTTCAAAGACTCCAATGGACTATGGGTAAATTCGAGAAGTTTTTTTTTTTTATTTTTTTTAATAAATAATCTGTTTTTGTTTTTGATTGTTTAGTGTTCCACAAAAACAAGAAACATTTACACAAACTGAACAAACTGTTGTTACTTCACCATCATTCGGTACACAACAACAAAAAGTTCAAAGAGTACAAATGCAGACAGAAGCTGGTCATATTTCAAATTTTATCGAAAAATAAAATCTAAGTTTTGTGTTTTTTTTCTTTATTTTATTTTAGACATGCTCTGTCGTGGTCGACGTCGAGAAACTGTTATTCCATTAGAAGATAAACGTCGATTTGTTGTCTGTATTGATAATAGCAAAGGTTTTGAACAACGTTGTCCAAAAGGTCTTTATTATTATCCTGAATCACGTCGATGTGAACGTAGTATGTTATCGTCTTTTGTTTTTTCTTAACTTCTTATTTCAAAATTTCATTCTTTTTTTTTCTTGTCTAGAATTTCGAGGATTAGAAAATCCATGTGCTCAAAAACCATGTCTAAATAATGGTCAATGTGCTCCAGTTGATGTAACATCATATAAATGTCAATGTCCAGCAGGTTTTGATGGTAGAAATTGTGAATTAGATGCTCGTGTTTGTCAAACTCAACAACCATGTGGACAATCAACAGACAGACGATGTCAATCATTTCGTTTGGGTGCTGCTCTTCCATATATGTGTATTTTTCAAGATGGTCTTGCTTATGGTCTTAATGCTCAACAAGGTTAGAATTTATTTATTTAAAAACTGAAGATCTAATTAAATATTTTCTTATTCTTTCTTTTTCTAGTTCAACGAAGTCCATGTCAAGGTGTTGATGGAACACAAGCATTAGCTGTTACTAATAAAGGTTTTATCATGTGTGATGGTGAACGTATGTTCGTTGAATCATGTCCAGGTGGTACTGTTTGGGATGATCTTAATAAAGCTTGTGTTTGGCCAGATATGCAAACTTTTACTGATGTTCCATTTATTGGTCAATCAGAAACACAACAAGGTTTGTTTCTTTTCTTTTTCTTTTTATATATCAAACAAGGTTTCTTTTATTTTTTTTTGTTAGTTTCAACTAATAATCAACAACAAGAATCAATAGTTACTTCAACAACACAAAGTAATCAACTTCAAATGCCACAACAAACACAAGTTAGACAGGACGAATCAAGTTCATCTTTTGTTGATCAAGCTTCAATGTCAGAACACCAAACACAATCTTCAACACCACAACCCGAACAAATGCAACAATTTGGATATTCACAACAACCGGAACAAATGCATCAATTTGGATATTCACAACAACCTGAACAAATGCAACAATTTCAACCATCCCAACAACCAGATCAAACGCAACAATTTGGATATTCACGACAATCCGAACAAATGCAACAATTTCAATCACCCCAACAACCAGATCAAATGCAACAATTTGGATTTTCACGACAACCCGAACAAACGCAACCATATCAATCATCCCAACAACCAGATCAAATGCAACAATTTCAATCATCCCAACAACCAGATCAAATGCAAGAATCTGAATTGCCACGTCAACCAGAACAAAAACAAGAATTTCAATTACCAGAAGAATATTCATTTCCTCAACAAGAAAAGACACAACAATTTCAATTATCACAACAACAACAACAACAACAACAACAACAACAACAACAACAACCCGAACAAATGCAAGAATATCAATTCTCACTTCCTCAATCAGAGAAACCACAACAATCATCATTTCCTCAACCAGAAAAAGCACAACAATTTGGATTAACACAAGAATCAGAACAAACCCAACAATATCAAATGCCACAAGAATATTCATATCCTCAATTAGATAAAGGAGAAAAACTTCAATTAACAAAACAACCTGAACAAATGCCACAATATCAATTATCATATCCTCAACAAGAAACAACACAACAATTTCAATTACCAAAGCAAGCCGAACCAATGAAAGAATATCAATATCCAAAAGTATTTTCAACTCCTCAACGTGAGACAATGCAACAATTTCAACTTCCTGAACAACAACAACAACAACCATCATCAGCCTATGGTAGTCAACCACAATTTCAACGATTTCATAATTGGCAACAACCATATCATGGATTTCAGACTTGGCAACAACCAATTCAACGACAATAAGATTTTCATCGAACAATACACTAAGCATTAGGTTATTAAGAATTAACGAGAACGATTTTTTTTTCTTGAAACTATTGTATTTTAACTACTCTATATGCTTTTCATTTTCCTTCTTTTTTTTTTTTTTTATATATTCATCATGATTTTGATAGTCTTTTCTGGATATTATTTATTTCTTCATATTTGACAAGCAATAGAATCTCATTTTAACATTATATTTCGTTTTCATAATAGAACCAAAAAAAAAAACAAAAACAAAACTAAATGAAAGATAAATAATATTTAATCTGAATCGATTAATTGAAGTTGATTAATAAGATGTTGTTGAGCAGTTAATATATGATGATATTTTAGTAATTGAAAACGATTTCGTTCTAATCGAAGTCGAATTGAATATAAATCCGTACGTAAAGATGTTAATTGACATGTTCTAATTCGAGTTTGTTCATTTGATAAATGAATAATTTCACGTTCGATTTGTGTTGATGGCCAATTAAGTAAATGTTGAATTAAATCAGCACGATAATATCGTTTAATATCATTTGAATTTGAATTTGTTATTGTTGATGAAGATTTATATTGATTTGGTAAAATAATTGATGGTGAATGTTCTAATTCTATAATAGCATTTATTGTATTTGAACTTGAACGTAATGATGATGGAATAATAATTGAAGAAGAAATATCTTTATTAATTTGTGTTTTTATTGATTGTTTTCGATGAAATAATTTAAATATATTTTCAATAAGAGAATTTGAGAATATATCATAATGAGATTTTTTTGATGAATTAATAATAAATGGAATAGAAATATTTGTAAGACTATTATTTGATGTTGGAAGTGGATCAACATGATCTATTTGAATTATTTCATTTGGTGGTGGTGATGTTGGTGTTAATAAAATAATATCATCATTTTTATTTTTATCTTTTACAAATTTTTTATATGATGAATCAACTTCAATATTATCTTTTTTTCGTTTATGATAATCGATTCTCATAGATTTATTTCGATCATTTTTATTGACTGATCGTTGATAAATCGAAGATTTTTTATCGGAATGAGATGATCGATCACGAGTAGAATTGAAATTTTCATTAGATATTGAAATTAAATTTGATTTTTTTGAATAATATCCATTATTAACAAATAAATAATTGTTATTATTTGAAGACTAAAGATAAAAATTTTTAATCATAGAAATAAATATTCTTACTCGTTTTGAATGAAAATCATTTTTATTGATAGATCTTATTTTAATTGATGACGATAATTGTTCTCGTGTTGGTTTTTCCCATTGAGATTGATCGGTAATAATATTATAATAATAAATTCGTCCATTTGAACTTTTATGTTCTTCCCATAAACAAGGTGATTGTCGTCGTTTAAGAGATCTATGATTATGTTGTCGAAATGAAGTATTCCTATGTGATCTATTTCGATTATGTTGCTTTTCAAAATGATAATGTTTTCTAACTTCTCGATGATTATATTGAGAAATTTTTCTTTTTTCATATTTTTGACGATAATGAATAACAGTTGGAGATAATGAAGAAAGAGAAGGAGAATTATCTCGATTAAAATCACATGATACTGATGACAATGCCATTCAACTAACAAATTAGATAATCATTATCAATCAGCTGATATACTTTGAAAAACTTTCTTCTTTGTTCTTATTTAAAAACATAATGAATATTCTCTTTTATAGATTCAGTAGTTCAATTAAACTATCAAAAACAATAAGATAAACTTGTTGTTAAGTTATCGACATGAGTCATATTCAAATTAAATGACAGAAAAAATATATATATATATAATGTTCAGTGTGTGTCTGTTTCTCTGCTGGGTTAAAGGACAAACATCAAAAGGTAAAGGTTAAGATTTCTAGCATTTTCATATCATGTCTAAAATAGGCTTGGTAGCACTAGGGTTAAACAATCTGAGTTGAGCTTGTCACAATTTACGAGAGGAGGTCACCAACTGTTCAATCACTTTTGAGTCAGAACTATGTGCATCATGTGGGTCCTAATGAGCTATGAATACCCTGAAAAGAGTTCGAGCCACTAGCTTATTATTGTCGAGATACTGCATTTTGACAATATTGTTAAGTAGAATGCCGTAGTTTCCTTCAGGAACCAGAAAAACTGAGTTTCGAGTTTTGACTTGAAACTTTGCACAGAAATAGGTCTCAGTAAGAGTAGTTTATTGTGAAAGTTTCAAGCCTTTTTAGTTGTTCCTATCCTAAGATACGGCTAAAAAGGGTGTTTTTACAGTGCTCGTATACTCCCGACAGGTTCTGATGTTCTTATTTCAGAATAAGAACAACCAAAAGATCTGAAACTTTCACAATAAACTACTCTTGCTGAGGCCTGTTTCTGTGTCAAATTTCAAGTCAAAACTCGAAACTCAGTTTTGCTGGTACTCCTGAGAGGTACCACGGCATTCTGCTTAACAATATCGTAAAAATGCAGTATCTCGACAGTAACAAGCTAACGGCTCGAACTCTTTTTAGAGTATTCATTAGGACTTACATGATGCATATAATTCTGACTCAAAAGCAAATGAACTGTTGGTGGCCTTTCCTCGTTAGCCTTTGTATATAATCGACTAATACTTTGATTCATTTAAAATAGAATTGATTTATCTCTTTAATATATTTTTTTCATTTAGTGCTCATTTGTCTTATTTTTCGGTGTTCTTTTCAGGTATAACTAATTAAGTGCTCAATTGTCTTTTTTTGGTGCTCAAATGATATTTTTGCTCCTTTTCAAGTTGGTGATAACGTGTTGTATTGACTATATTTTTGTGCATTAAATAACAACCTATTAATTCTTGCTCATATCGTTTAATCGTTTTATTAAACACTTCCTGTATCTTTCTTTCAATGTTGTCAGGTGGAAAACTTTTTGAAGATCATCTGTTGGACATTGAAACAGGTGATATATAATTCGTAAATAACGACGATAAAAACCATTAATCTTATCTTTTCGTGTTTTCGACAAGAGACAATATAATGATGACATTGTATATTGTATCTTATAGAAGGAAGAGCCGTTCTCGAGAAACTCGGAAACAGGGAAGTACCCTTAAACCAAATGATGTGTCAGCAATCAATGTTAACATACAAATATTGAATACGAAAAGTGAACAGCCAGTAAAATACAATTCGTAACTACATATTGTAATGCATTCGTACTTAACTATTAAGGTTTACAATTAGAAATTCAATGCAACAAAACTCGTTATGAAGTAAAAACAAAAAAGTTAATTCTTTTAGAATTGAATCCTATTCGATATAAATATTTTAGTTTTGAAATATTCTATTTTATTTTACATAAAGTATGAAGCAAGAAGACAAGAAAATTTATGAACGAAAAGCCGGTTTTTTCGTATATTCATATTGTAAGACGTGAATCTAAAATATAAAAATAAAATAAAATGAATAAGAAAAGAAAAGAAAATATTAACTTCTTTGATAATATTTTGAAAAAATAGTTCATATTGAATAAAATCTAGTTGACATTGTTTAAGTGCTTCTTCCATTTGATAATCAACACGTGTTAAAATATCCCAATCAATTGATAATATTGATGGATATTTAATTGCTAATGTTTCATCTTCATTTATATCAATATCCCAACTAAAGTTTTAAATAAATATATTATTAATTAATATAAATAAATGAAAATTGATTTACCTTTGATTTTCTTCATTTGATAAAATTTCATTTGGTAATGATGGTTCAAGTATAGTTGTATCTTGTGTTCGAATTCCAAGTAATTGTTTAAGTGATGTTAATGGTGTTGTTGGAGTTTGAGATGGTATCATAACTAATGGTGTTGGAGGAGATTCAATTGGAAGTTCAATTGAATTATTTATTAAATTTATTCGAGAAAATTGTTCAATAGGCCATGTTAAAATATTTGAACGAAGATCATTTGATAATGATAAATGCATTATATTTAATGAATGAAAATGTCCTGGAAGATCATTAATAAGTCGAATATAATCACGAATTTTTAATTCAAGTCTATTAAAAAGAAATTTTTTATTATAATATTAAAAAATAAAATGTTGTTTTAATTACTTTTCTAATTTTTCTAAAGGATTTTCTTGAATTATTTTATTTAATTGATTATCAATTCTATTAAGTTCATTTCGTTTTTCATTTATTTGTTGATGAATACGTGGAATTAATTTTTCATCAGATTTTTTTGTTTGTTCAATTTCTGTTTGAACTCTTTTTTTTAATAAACTTAAATGAACATCAACTGATTTACTCTAAAATTATAAATTATAATCAAAAATTAAGATTATTATGTATTTTTTTGTTTTGTTTAACTAACAGCAATCATTGCATCTAGAATAGACATTAATTGAGTTTGTTCAATTGATGATCGACGAGATAAAACTTCTCGTTTACTATCATCAAGTCGACTACGAAGTTTTGCACATTCCATACGAATATTTGCCAAATGTACAAATCTAACAATATATTATAAAATAAAAATTTAAAGATAAATAAATGATTATACTGTTTAGTAAAATTCAGATTAGTTTTTCTAAGAGCTTCTTCATAAGTATCAATTATAGTTGAACTTCGTTCTTGTTCATCTTTTTCTATTTTACTAAAAATAAATTCATAGAAATAAATAAATAAAAAACAAATAGTTAAAAAACAACACCTAAGTTGATTAATTCGTTGTTGAATAAGTGTATTCATAAGAGAACATAAATCATTCAAATGAATTGATTGTTGAAATTTTCCTATTAATGAATTATTTGGATTGATTAATTCTGTAACTAATTCTAAAAATAAACATATTTTCTTTATAATAAAAAGATAAAATAACAAAATACCTTGATGATTTGTTGAATTTGTTGATGTTAATAAATCTAATTGTTGTTTTATTTGAAATAATTGATTTAAATAATTAGCTAATTGTCGATATATTTGAAGTTGTTTATCAAGTGAAGATATAATATAATATTCAT